TATTACCATATCCCTTTAAGTGACAGAAGTACGCTGTCAACGGTTGGTAATGTTCCTACTCTAAAACATTTGCGATGCCGACGGGTAGCTACTTATAGGAAACGCCGAAGGGTAGCTTCTTATAGGAGGTCGTTAGCTTTGGAAAAGTTTTAAACTTCTCAAATTTGCTACAATTGTGCTGCTATACCCTCGGTATTTTGTGGTATTCAAAGAACTTAGTCAAACCTTAAGACCGAGGAATGTTTTCCCAGTTCCTGGTGGTCCTTGTATAACAGCTACTTCTTTTGTCAGAGCAATTTTCAATGCTTCATACTGGGATTCATCAAGACCCAGCTGCTCTTTACTTGGCCAACGATGAACATCAAGTACGGGGACATCTTTAAATTGAGGAACCTTGTGGTGAGCATTGTATCCTAAGGTAAAAATGATAATGATGATTATACTTTCAAAAAAATAATTTGAAAATTGCATTTCGGATTACCATATAATGAAAGGTTGCGAAGCAGCCTCTCTGAATGTGCGGACGCATTTGATGAAGCATCGTCAACTAGGATTGAAGAAAAGTCAAAACTTGGTGCAGCTGACACAAAGCGATTACGCCTCAGATATTGCGGAGCTTGAATGTCTTTATTGCAGTCTATCAGATACCTCTGAAAAAGATAAATTTATACAGCTTCTTCAGAGACTATTTGCTACAGCAATCTATAAGTTTATATGTTTCGTATATTCCCCATTTCTGGCCGACAGATAAAAAGAATTTAAATACAACTTTATAAACTTTGGGAACAAAATTTACCGTCAAGAGAAACCTATCAATAGGACTATACAGTCAAGATATCGTAAAATTGCACCCGCCCATAAGACAAAATAAAACGTTGCTATTTTGTAAAAATGTTTCCTTTGCAGAAACAGAAGCAAAACTCATTAATATGGGCCAATATAATTAACAAACAATCTGGGACACTGGTATGAACAAAGGTACAAAAGAAGACACTAATATCGCTATAAAAAGTAAAACCTCATCTTTTTTAAGGGTGCTAATTTTCAACTACGCTAAGTACCTTTGTTTTCAGCTACTGAGTACATGCAAACATGGCAAGCAAAATATGATCGAATTCAGGTCACAGCAGAAATTTGTAGTCACGACGGCTGAAATATAGGGGGTCCGGAGCATAGTCCCTCGGAAATATTTGAAAACTTGAGGCTAGGAAATACCATTTTCTGCACTTTCAGGCACCATTCTCGTATCCAGAGTCTGTCTTACGCGTGGTCAACGGAGAGTGACGAGGGGCTCTGGGTACGAGAATGTTTCAGGCACTAAATTGAAGAATTTGGACAATGAAAATGCTGAAAAGAAATTGCTTCATATTCGGGTTTGGTCAGTAGCTGTATATGACTTGCATGTGGAGGCAAATAGACCTTTCCGGTAATTACGTCACTGTTTTCAAATTAAGGCCACTTTAAATGGAATAGATTTCAAGTTTGTTTCTCACGAGCCATAGGTTAAAGAAGCAAAACATTCTTCGAGAGCACATGCACAAAAAAGAATTTTGGATTTTGACTATTAAATGTGGAAATAAGCTTAAATTAAACATGAAAACGAGGCTGAGGGGCCATGGCTCCTCTTAGTGGCCCCTCAGCCTTGTTTTCGTGTTTTAGCTTATTTTCACATGTATTGGTCAAAAGCCAAAATTCTTTTTTACGCACGGGTTGAAGAAGTATGTTCCTCTGACCATAGCCCATCATAAAATTGATAAAAATAGCCCATAATTGCACTTTTTCAAGTAATTTTATAGCTTTTACAACCCACAAAAGATATCATTGACAACGCTATTATTACTAAAATTAACATGACAGTCATTCCAACTGCCGTACGGTTATAAGTTATGATAAATTAAGCTGGAGTAATACGAACAACAAAACTGCTGCAACTTGCAACAAAATTTGATTTCAACGCATGTTAATTAAATAGAAATGTGGACACATGTTGCCTCATGATTTGTAATGTATGTGCAAACATTTTTAATTAACATGCGTAGAAATCAGATTTTGTTGCAAGTTGCAGCAATTTTGTTGCCCGTATTACTCCACCTTTAGGTATAAAATAAATAGGTTTTTTGCCAAAGGGGGTGTCTGTGGCTGTCGGAGGAGATTGATGTGCAACGGTGCTTACATGCATACACGTCCGGAGCTTCCTTTACTTTTGATAACTTTATTATACCTTCAAGTTTGATATTCTTCATAATTATACCCACCTGAAATGGCAAGTCCTCGTCTTTGGTTTGTTGTAATCCTTCTAAGATAGGATTATAAGCTTCAAAATATGCCGTTGTTTCGACCATTTCGTAGACGTTCTTGCGTGAAAAATCTTGTAAGTCAATTGTTAAGTCCATAAACTGTACCGTAAGTTTACCCTGTCATGGGAGATTTATAATTTGTGTTAGTTGTATTGGGCATATGTGGCACATTGGTTGGTGGATATACCTTTTGCATACATATGTGGTGGGATTTATACTGGCCGGAAAATAATGACGACAAAATGGCCACAACGTCACGTACTAATTTGCAAGTAACCCACATACAATGGCCTTCAATTTTTAATAGGGACTATATAATAGGGTGAAACCGTATAACTGTAACTATAGTTAAGGCAATCAGGGACCTCAGCTACGCGTTTTGCCACTTGCCGACCGCGTGGTCAGCATAATGTTTAATGTTTTGGTGGCCAAGTCATGTTCGCTTTGAGCGACCAAGTCGTGTTCAAGAAAATCAACTTTTATGCCAACTTTGCGTGGTTAAACTGGAGAGTGATTTTGCTTTGAGCAGGGACGCCGGAACT